CTGGACCCTTCCTCACGTGCCCTCCTGCCGTGGTCCTGCCCCCCACCCCAGACGTCCTGGCCACATAGAGTTTCCAGCCACTCCCCTCAGATGCACATCCTTCTGTGTCGTTTTCACACGTGGTTTCTTCTGCCCGGAATGATTTTATCCCTAAATCTACCTGATGAGCTCAGACTCATCTGTCCGGGCCTAGATGGAATGCCACTACTGCCGGAAGCCTTCCTGGGTTCTCTCGGGCGGTTAGTCCTCCCTCTTGAGTCACTTCAGTCAAGCCTCCCAAAGAGCCCTCTGCGGATGCTCTTGCTCCTCCACGTGGAAGGGACCTTTCCATGGTGTCGCATCCTCAGGGGTGATGACCATCTTTGTCCCTGGCCAGCAGCAGATACTCAATCCATGCTTGTTGAAGGACTGAAATTAAACTCCTAAGAGGTTTGTATTGTTGATGGTTTAATTTTCTATGCTCCTGCCTGTTTGGGAAAAGATCTAAGATGGTGGTTCTCAGCCCTGGTGCACAGCAGGATCCCCTGGGGAGCTTTAAAATGCCTACTGGTCAGGTCACTCGTGAGACCAACTCAGGATTTGGGGGTGGGACCCAGACATCAGCGTATCGCCCAGCTCCCGGGGGATGCTAATGTGCAGATGGGTAGAGGCTTCCCCACCGACCGGTGGACGCAGCGTCCTGGCTGGGGGCCTTTCCTCCCCACCGAGGGGGATGGGGATGAGCCGCGTCAGAGTCCACGGTGCTGTGCATGGTCAGACGTGGCTTTAGAGCCACTTTTAACTTAGAGAGGAGGAGGTGTCCTGGAGAGGGCGAGGAGCATGGGTACCCCCGGCAGAGGGGGGGCCACCAGCCATTTGAGGGAAGGGCAGGGGCAGAGAGAGGGCTGGCCTACAAGCGACAAGGGCTTCTCCTGGGTGGACACGGCAGACAGCAGGTGCTTGGCCAGCCCCCCTCCAGTGTGCAGGGGAAGCCGTGGTTGAGCGTCACAGCAGACCGTGTGGGGAAGGGCCCTGAGCCAGTGCAAGTCCGATTCTGGGAGGAGGCCCGGGCCTCTGCAGCAGTCGCTTCTGTCTTGCCTTTATCAGAACAGGAAACCCTGACACCAGGGGGTCTGGGGAGAGCCTGGCTCCCACACGGAAGCGGCCTGAGCCCCAGCTCCGCCTCCAGGAGCCCCCTTTTCTTCTCTGGACTTGTCTCCCATCCCTGAGTGGGGCAGACAGGACCGACTGCAGGGGTGCTGCGAGGAGGACGGCGAGGACCTGCTGCTAGGAGCCCAGACGCGCCTGTTCTAGAAGCCCCAGCAGCAGCACCAGACGTGTGCTCGAGGGACTCACAGGGCACATGTTCTCACCTACCATCCAGAGCTGACTGTGGAAACCTTATGGGCTCGATGCACTACAACCTCTGAACCTCAGGTTTCCGTCCCGCCCAGCAGAACCGTAGAAACACAGCAGCACATTGCATGCCCGCGCGCGCGCACGCACGCTGTGCAGCGAGCAGCAGTAGGAGCCACCCACCTGTCCATCCGCGCGCTGAGCTGCTGTGGCTCGGTCCCAGGCCGGAGACTGGCCTGGATGACTGGGGGTGCGGGGCCAGCTCAGAGCAGCTCACGAGAGCCGGCTGTGCACACTGCCAGCCCCGCGTCCCGGGACCTCACCTTGGGACATGTCCCAGGACATTACAGTGTGAAATTGGCCATGGTGGGAGTATTTACATGGCGATAATCATCGGATGCCACAAATTAGGTCTCACTTCTCCCACCAAAAGCTGGCTGCTCGACGTTTTCCCAGCACCCTGCTACCTGGCTCCCCACAGCGGGTGGCCTGGGGGGCGGCCCGAGAATAACCCTGACCTCGGTCTAAGGTGAGCTCCAAGGACCAGCAGCAGCAGCACCACTTAGGACCTTGCTAGAAAGGCAGATCCTGCCCCTGCCTCACGGCAGGTGTCTGAGTCAGAATCTCTGGGGGCGGGGGCCCGAGACCTGCCATTTATCAGGCTCCCTGGGAAGGAAGGCTACGGTTGGAGGCGCGAGGCTCTAAGCGCCAGAGAGGAGCAGAGGGGGCTTCGAGGGGAAGTGGGACATCCAGTCCGAGTGTCATCGAACCAATGCAGGCAGGTGTCCTCCGACTTCCTCCCCTTCACAGTGAGAAAACTTGGGAGGAAAAGCATCACGTTGCCACCAGCCAGGCAACTATCCCCATTGGTCCGCGTCTCTTCCATAACTCGAGCACATTTGTATAGGAAGCAGTTGCCGGTGCCTTTCTTTTCTACGCGGGCGCACACACTCATTTGCATCCCGAATTTCTTCCAGAACAAGACTGCCTTAGATACTGACACGGTCGCCGAGACCTGCTGCCTTGTTCCAGAAGAGGTTTTGGGCAGGCTTTTCTTTTTCCTCTAGCGCCAGCGTGCTGTAGAGGTGGCTGGTACCCGAAACGTAATCTTCAGAATTAACATTCCTCGGGCTGGGCCTGGCCTGGACAGCAGGAAAGACACAAGCCTCCCCAGTCACAGGCCCAGCCCCGTGGAAAGGAGCATGGACCCCTAATCCGCTTTATTCTGGGAAGTATTTTGGCACAGCTTGGCTCGGTAGTTTATAAACAAGCTCTTTGTTGTCTGGAGGCGGTGGGTCACAGCGCTGTTTAGAAGGAGGTTAAACACTCCTCGGGAGGCTTTCTTTCATGATGTGGTGGGTTTACCCTTTAGCTTTACGTAAAGAATAGGTCTGCAAAGGGCCTGGGTTTCGGGCCACATAGACCACCCCTGGACAGGGAAAGCCTTGGGGAAAACCACCAGCATCCCCACCTCACGTACCCCGTGCTTTTCCTGACAGAGCCTGCTCAGCCATCCAACAAATATTCTTTGGTGCTCCTCGGGCCCCACCAGTGGGGCTGGTGGTGGGGCAGAGAAAGGAGGGCTCCAGGCTATGGACAGCTTCCCAGGTAGAGGAAATAGCTCGCGCAAAGTGTGGAGGCAGACAGTAGGCATTCGCTGACAGGGAACTGTCCAGAACAGTCCAGAACATTTGGTGGGGCTGGAAGATGAGTGGCGGGAAATGGGGTGGAAAGAAGAGCAGGTGTCGGGTGATGAAGCCCTTACTGGGCCAGGATAAGCCGCTGGGTCTTTATTCTGCAGACACTTGATGCTTAAGAGGGTGCCACCTGCCCCGCTTATATCTGCCCACCCCAGACCAAGCCAGCCACCAATCCAGCCTCTCCTCGGTGTCTGCCCACCTGTCTGCCATCATCCATCCCTCTCCACCCAGCCAGCCAGCCAGCCAGCCAGCCCAAGTACACTCTGTACCGGACACAGGATTTCTTCTTTTCTTTTCTGGGTCCTGAAGGTCCTGCTGTTCCCGTAGCAACTCCTTACATGTATTCTATTTCAGAACTACTCCGACCGACCCATGTCACCAGCAGTCTATTCAGGGGATGGTGTTTTGTTAGAAACAAGGAATTCACAGTCATGTGACAGCGAGGCTCACCTGGCCCGATGGCTGGAAAACGCAGCCGGGACAAAGGGATTGCGGGTAGATGTGCTGAGCACAGAACGACCTGGAAATCTCATCCTGACAAGCAGTTCTTTCAAAAGTCAGTTATGAAGCCGTTACAACACATGGCAACACCTGCCCTTCCCATCATTATGATGTATTAATGCCCTTCAAATAAAAGAAGGAATCAGAGAAGTAACCTTTTGTCAAGTTTTTTTTTTTTTTTGAGCAGGTGGGGGGAGGGGAAGGGGGAGCAGGACTTTAGGTCTTGGTCCTTCTTAAATGGGTTAAATCTTAATACTTTGGTCTAACATCTTTTATTGTTCTTTATGGTGAAAAAACATTCCTGATTATAGAAGACATTCTCCCCCCCACCCCCCCACCCCCACACACGGTCCAAGGCAAAGAAAAATCACCCTGAGATATAACTATTGTTAACATTTGGGTGTATTTTTTTCTCATTCTCTTTTCTTGGCATATTTTTAAACATAACTGAGACCATCCCTTTTACACAGTTTTGAATCTAACTTCCCCTCCCTCCACTGAATAAATGACAGGAGAAAACTCCTATGAAAGTTTCTGAAAACTCCATCTTAGCGGCTGCAAAGAGCCCCACTGCACGGATGTTCCATAACTTATTGACCCAACCCCTTTCGTTGAGGGCTCGGGAAGTTTCTAACGTTTCACTCTTATTAAAACATTGAGGCCGTCCTTCCATCACCACCCTCGGTCAGACCTCTGATAATTTCCTTTCGGTAGAATTCTAGAGACGGAACCAAGGAGGAAAACTCTGTTTCACGCTGAGACTTCAATCCCTCTTTGCCACACCGGCTTCCAAAACGACAGGCTGGCCTGCACAGAGGCTCTCTCGCATGTCACGAAGGTGTCCCCAGCTCCCTGCCACGTTAAGGGAATGCGATGGGCGTGGGTGGGTCTATCTAGTGAGTGTGCCCTGATGCTTTAGGGGAAACATTTGTAAAACCAAAACAAACAAACGAAAACCCCCCAAAACAGAAATAGAATAATTTGCCTTTCCTGCTATCTGTGACTCCAAGTCCAAACCAATGTTTTAATAAAACATGCAAAGAACTGGCTCAAGATCCTTTTAACCGGTTTCAAACCGAACTGCTGGGAATATGTTTCGGATTTGAAAACTGTAGCAGGAGTTTCTGTTGAACAAGACCATTTCGTGCTCACTTTTTACACGTAAATGTCAGCTTTACTCACTAGAAGTCAGACTCTTGCCCCAGGGGGAAAACCGTCCAGAGCCTCCTTCGGCTCACAAGAGCGGGGGGTGCGGAGAGGACTCAGCGGCCCCTGGGGAGGGGGGGGGGCTTGCAGAGGGCGCGGTAGGGCGGGTTTGGATAACAGCTCGGCAGCGGACCGGGAGGTGCTGGGTCCGAGACGGCGGGCTCTGCACCCCCGTGCCCCTCGCTCGCGGCGAGCCTCAGTTTACCGGCCTGGAGTCGGGGCACCCGCGCCGGTGCTCCCCGCGCGGACCGTACTCACCTCCGCCGTACATCTGGCACAGGTAGGGGAAGCGCCACACGTTGCCCAGGCCCACGGCGTACGAGATGCAGGCGAAGACGAACTGCAGCGGGTTGGCCCACAGCGGCCGCGCCTTCTCCATGGCCGCGAGCTGGGCGCCGGCTCCCCCTCGGGCGCCGCGCGGGGCTGCTTCGGAGCGCGGCTGCCCGGCGCGTCCCTGCCCGCTCGGCCTGGGGGTGGCCCCGCGCCTTGGCCGCGGCTGCTCGCTCGCTTTTTAATTGCTAATCTCATTAACGCGCGCCCGCCGGAGGGGCGAGGCTGGTAAATGGATGACGGCGAGCCCCACCCCGCCCGGCCGCCGCGGCCGGGGAGGCGCCCGGGATTGCGCCTGGGACGGCAGGGCACGGGGCGGCGCCCGGGGCTCTCCGGCTCCGCGGCCGGGCCGGGGTGTTGCTGCGCGTCTCTTCGGAGCCGTCGGGTTCTCCCAGCCACCTATCCATCGTTTCCTGGGTGCCTACTGGGTGCTGGGCTTCGTCTGGGGACGGGCTGTGAGCCACACGCACACATCCCCAGCCCTTCCGGGAACTGACATTTCGGGGAGGGAAATGCTTAAATTGGCCGGGATAAAAGGCCCCAGCCAGTTTCAACTACTGTTGACCTACAGAAGGGACAATTTCATGTGGTTCGTTTTAGTCCATATAAAAGACTGAGACCGGAGGAAGGCAACTAAGGCAAAGCAAAAGGGTGAGCAGTATCGTGGCGGTAGGCTGGCGTGGTCCCGGAGGGCTTCCCAGAGGAGGAGCCAGGACATTTGCCCAGAGACTGGAAGAAAGGAAGGGAAGGAGAGGGGGACTCTCCGGGGCCTCCACTCCTTTGCAGACAAATACTTCTTGGAGGAAGAGCAATGGCGGCAGCCAGGTACCCTCCATCGGCAGACAGGCCCTAATTGCCTAGTGTGTGCAGGGCAGGGAGTCTGGCTCTGTAGTGCCGGGTGGGGGTCAGGAATCCAGTTTTGAACAGCTGTGTGGGGTACTCTACTGCCCAGGTGGGTCTAAAGGCTAGAGATTCTGATTCATTATCCAGGAGTTAAGGCCTAAAAAAACCCGTCTGGAAAGGTTGTTTCGTTCAAGGCGGTCACTAGACCTGTCTAAGCCTGGTACTTTGGAGAAGGGCCAAGCGCTGGCTTTGGATCTCAGCTCTGCCACTGAGCCGTGCGACCTTGGACAAGTCACTGAGCCTCTCTGAGCCTCTGTTGCCTAATTTGTAATAGAAACAAACATAGCCCCCCTCCCAAGGGCTCATGTGAGAATTAACTGATAGCTTACTACCTGCCACATAGTACGTGCTCGATAAAGGGGCCACTGGTGTGAGTCCCCAGAGGTCTGGGTGAATGGAAAAGGTAGCACGCTAAATCAGTTAATAATAATGATATACCTTGAACGGTGCCTGGTACCGTAACTGCTAAGAAAATGCTTGATACATAAATAAAATTAAAAAGAGATGAAAAAGTGGAGTTGCTAGTGGAAATCTTCCTTGAAGCCAAAATGAATTTAGTCCCCTGAGTCCCTGCCTGGCCGGTGGCTCAGGAAGGGCAGAGTGATAAGGAAGGTGGAGGCTCCTCCCACGTGCGGCCTGCCCTTGAACTTTCCACCTCCAACAGCCGAAGCCCTGGAAGTCCACAACACAGCAAGGGAGACTATTTTTGCTTTTTAAACTTTGGGATTCTAGTGAGTGTTTTTCCTACAACTTGCCTCCTCCCCAGAGGGACCCACCATATCCTGGTGTCTGTGGCTATAAGTTAGTTTCTGCTGCTTGGACCTCTGCACACATGAACTTGGGCAGTATGTGCGCTTTCGTGCCCGGCTTCCTTGTGCGAGTCATTCTGCTCCAGTGCACCTCTCCAGGCTGTTCTTCCTCACTGCTGCATAGTACTCCACGCTGGGAACCGACTCTAGGTGATGCCCGAAGGACATGGTACTGTCTCCAGGTTGGGGCTATCGTGAATAAGGCGGTGATAGACATTCTAGTGCCACTGGGGGACGAGTACGCTCATCACAGGGAACTTCCGGGCTGGACGGTTAACTGGAGGTCAGCGCGAGCAGATATTGCCAAACTGTTGCCCAGAGAGGTAGTACCAGTTTGCACTCCCACAAGAGTTTCTGTTGTTCTGTATCCTCAGCAACATCTGTCATTCTGTTTTATTTTTATTTTTTTTAAGATTTTATCCATTTATTTGAGAGAGAGAATGAGATAGAGCGTGAGAGGGGGGAGGGTCAGAGGGAGAAGCAGACTCCCCGCCGAGCAGGGAGCCCGACGCGGGACTCGATCCCGGGACTCCAGGGTCATGACCCGAGCCGAAGGCAGCCGCTCAACCAACTGAGCCACCCAGGCGCCCTGTCATTCTGTTTTAAAAGTGCTCCCTGGTTTGGTGGGTGTGTCGTGATGGTTCTCTGTGACTTTCAATTTTAATTTCCCCGCATATGAATGAGGCTGTTCCCACAGGCTAACTGGGTCATCTGGATATCCTCTTTCATGAAGTGCGTGTTCCTTTGCCAGCTTGTAATTGACTTGTCTTTTTCCTCCTGCCCTACATAGTTCCTTACTCCTTCTGGGTATGAGCCCCGTGTCAGTTTTAGGTATTATGAATTCCTTCCTCTGGTCTTCGGGTTGTCTTTTTATTCTATCAGTGGCATCTTCTGATGAACGGACGGTCTTGATTTTAACAAACTCTTAACAGACAACTCTCATGGATGAGTTTTCCCTAGAGGGTGGCCGGCCACATGGTGGCATTCAGGAGCTGACCACCCCGGACGGACGCCCGGCACGGTTGCCTGCCGCCTGCTTGCAGGTGGTTGGTGTGACAAAGTCAAGGCCCCTCTTCCGTTCCCCACCCCCAGGGGTCAGGCCAGAGGGTCTCAGCAGTCACACTGCCAGATGCCCCAGGAGCCTGATCAGGGCCGGGGGACCCCGGGTGGGGGCTGTGGGAAGCGCACAGAGACACCCCATAGTAGGACTAAGTAAATCCTTAGGGGCAGATGTTCAGGGCTCCTGGTAAGGTCCTCACACTTCCTCACGCCCACCAGCGACAGCTCTCTCTAAGCTGGTAAGACCGGTTGTGCTGCTGGAAGCGTGAAGAACAGGCCTGGGAGGGGCGGATGCGCTTCCACGGGAAGACCAGCAAAGCAGGGGGTGGGGGTGAGTGGTAAGAAATGCTAAAGCCACGGGCTCTCTACAGAACTCTGGTTGGTAGTGCTCGCTGATTTCGCCAGTGTAAATACTCCCCCTGTGGCCAAGTCCAAACTTCCAACACGGTGCCACTGAACGTGGAGTTGGGCAGAGACGCGCAAGAACCCACCGTTGTCTGGATCTCCGTTACACACACGCAATAGACACAGTAGACACACATGCCTCAAGAGCATGACAGAGGTGCAGTGGGTGATTAGGAAGTGGTGGCGTTTGAGTGCATTTATCACCTCTGGTTTACACCATTGACCTGTTAAGTTTATATAACTGAAGTTCTAATATTGGCTGCCTTTAACAGTCAGCTCACAGGATTCTGGAAGAGGTACCAGCCGGCAACTTCTGTGTGGCAGGGGCCCCGGGGAGCGAGTCCAGGTCTCAGAGGTCCGGTGCCCAAGGGCAGCCCCACTCTGAGTGCTCCCTGGGGGCTCCCACTGCCAGGATGGAAGAAATGCTCTCCTCCGACAGGCCTGTCCGGTCTCATCGGGCCCCATGTCAATCAGGACAGAAGGCCAGCCTGCCCTGGTTATCTATCTGACTTCGGGAAGAGGGTGGTGGAGAAAGGAGGGGAGGCCTTGATTCAGTTGCACAGGTGTGGTCACAGCCCCGTGCCAGGGTTCCAGACTCTTCCCCACCAATTCCAGCCACCCAGCTTTCAATGATTAATGTGCCCGCCCTCGAGATGATGCTGTTAACTTAACTCCCCATCCATCTCTAGTTCCTCATGAGATAAAGTCCAAACTCCTGAGCCTGGTCTGTACAGCTCTGAGGAATTTATTTTTTGATTGGGCCAGGAGGAATTTGACCCTTGCTCACCTAGGCTTTTCACCTTCCGGAAAATGCCGTGCACTTTTACCCTCCTGGGCTGTTCCCTCAGCCAGGATAACCTTCTCCCTTCTTGACCTGGGGGAAGGCTCTCCATTCTTCTTGACCCAGATGAAATACTAGCCCCCCCTTCTTTAAGATTTTATTTATTTATTTGACAGAGAGAGAGAGACAGTGAGAGAGGGAACACAAGCAGGTGGAGTAGGGGAGGGAGAAGCAGGCCTCCCGCGGAGCAGGGAGCCCGATGTGGGGCTCGATCCCAGGACCCCGGGATCATGACCTGAGCCGAAGGCAGACGCTTCGACTGAGCCACCCAGGCGTCCCCTACTTAACATTACATGAACTAATAGGAAATCAATACTGGCCACGCTTGAAGAGTGGGGCAGTGTGTGCGGCTGGTGGCTGCTGTGCTGGGCAGCAGGATATGGAGCGTCCCCATCACTGCAGGAAGCCCCGCCGGGTACTCCTGCCCGGGGCCCGGGGAGCCTGGGTGGGGGCGTGTTCTGTGCTAATTCCTCCCACGGAGAGCTTTCCACCTGCTGGGCCCGGACTGTGAGCAAGTGAGTGGGATGCAGGCATGTCCCAATGCTGTCCTGTCCCCAGAAAAGGTGGGACCTTCTTTTGCTCTGCTCCTCCACCTCTCGGGATGCTGAATGCGACCCCTCATCCTCCCACCGGGAGGCTGGATATGCCCCAGGTGGCTCTGTCCCCGAAGCCCCCCCAGCGGCGAGAGGGGAAACCCCCACCCCCACCCCTCCCACTGCCTTTCTGTCTCCCGGGGACTGGGGCCCCGTCTCTGGCCCGGACCTAACAGGCAGCCGATGCCACGTATTGCCCTCCTAAGCCCCTTGACTCCCGGTCCTTTTGCTGTCTCTCAGCCTTGTGCCCCCCCAAACTCGAGCCTCTCTGGGCTCCCCGGACTGCTGGTAGGTGCTTCTGGAAAGATCTCACAGAACCGTGATCGGGCGCGAGGCCTCAGCAGGGCCTTGTTGCTGTTGTTGTTCTGTCCCGTCTCATGGCCCCGGGCCGGTGTCCCCCATCTTCTCTGTGCGCCTCTCAAGCCTCTCTTTCCATCCCCCTCGGCCT